TATTTGTCTTGTACGTATTGGGATGTTGGAAAACTATTTTTTTTACTTGTGGAAAATCAATGGCTACAGGAATTTTTAATGAAACTGGCTTTTCAGGCGTAGGTATCTGGAATTGGTATCAGTTTTGTTCTAGAAACGGAACACCCGGTATACCTATTATTGTATATATTATCGCTGCTTAAAACTTGCGAACCATATTTGCCATAAATGTTGGCCCACGATCAACCAGCTTGGCAAAGTCTTAACTATCTTCATAACAAAATGATATTACAAGTTTTTGCTTTTTAATATTCGATGGATTTTCCGTTATTCGCACCGTATCAAAAATTCGGATTAAATCACAATTTTGTGAAATGTTGACGCTTGAAATACCAAAATCATTTTTATTTCAGTATATTTTTTCAGAGTGATTTTTTTTCACTATGAATAAACAAAAAAAACTAAACAAGACTAAAAAAGTTAGTAGGAGCCATTTAAAAAACTAAGCCTGTTTTCAACTTAAGGTGTTTATTCCTGGTAAACTATTACCGCAGCCCCAATAAACCATCAAAATTATCCTCATTTGTTAGAGAACCAACTGCGACATAATATAGGGTGTTTCATTAAAAAAAACATATGTGCCACGGGGTTTTAGGAACGTCCTGTTTATCGACAATAATTTTAATGCATGGCCAATATTGAATAAAAAAGTAATTTCAAAATCGCACACCAATCAAATCATCATATTCCACCCCGTCTTGGTTGCACCGCCTTGTATATGGCTACATCCCCTTCCGCACTGGAAGACTAGGGCAAAACGACTAAAAGCAGATAAATCAATTTTGGGGGAGTTTATTAAAGAATCAAGTTCACGCCACTCCTGTATATTCCCAATAATCCTTATTACGTAAGAGTCATAGCGAGACGAACGAGGATTTTACAAAGAACACAAAAATATCGAAAAGGCAATAATGTATCCACAAAAAAAATAGAAGGTATTTCACACACCAAGTAAAAAGTTGTGGTATTATTTTGAAGAAGTCTCCATTTGCAGAAAGCGGATGGACGTGGAAGTTTCAAAGCAAGTTTCATTAAAATCCATCGTTCAAGGATGTCTCGATATTTCACAAAACACGATTTTTTAAAAGAACTTTGACCAATACTTGAAAAGTCAGACATTTTTTCTTAGTAAAAGTTTGCTCAGATCATCTTCTTTTGAGCCAAAGAATGTCGCAGTACCATTTTGGTTCTCATACCATACTGAAATTCATTCGCTGGCGGGGAACTGAACAGTTTTCCTAAAACTTCACGAGACCCGTCAATGTTTTAATATATTTATATACATATTGCAACCAAGGTGAAATAAATCGACCTTCAGGGGTAACTGAAACTACCCTCCACATGCACTACTTTTTACATATTGCTTGTAAAATGTAGGTAAATACAGGACGTTGACGTGCGTGGGGAATTTTTAGAAAAATTATTTATTTACCCACGAGAGAATTTATTGCAGTTAAAGTCTCCACACTGTATATTTTTAATTCTAGGTCCAAATAACAGATACATTTAAAGATGTTGAGCATATCAAGACTTTGCATTTCCTCAGCCAGCAGAGCTTTTCCGAAAATACAAAAAAATGCTAGCATGCTGACGCCCTTTAGAAACTACACCAATTTAGTATTTAAACCGCCTCAAGCGTTGCTGCGAAATTCAAACAAGGTAAGAAATGACTCACTTATTTAACTAGACACGAAATATAGTAATTTTATAGTATTAAAGGGATGAATCGAATTAAATAAAGATAATTATTAATATTATTATTATATGGACAGAATTGAACAATAAATAGAATTAATTGAATTGGCTTTTTAAGTATCTGGATTGATTTTCATGCTATTTTTCAAAAAACGCCCGTTTAATCCATTTTATTTAGGCATTCCAGAAAACAAGCGGCAGTATAACTGTTCGATTGGTCTCAGATTCACCCCAAAAACCACCCAAAAGTGTTGGATATTGGTTACTTGCTTGCAGCGGGATGGTTTTTGTAGCAGTTGTTCTAGGTATAAGCATTTATTATGGTATTTTGAAAAGTATTTACGTTGTCGTTGAAGAGATTGTGAAAAGGACAAAAGGATCTTGAGAATACTAGTTGACGTTTTACAGTGTGAATATAATTCTGATAAATTTTATTATTACGAGCGGCCTGTTATCTGTAGTTATGTAACGGGGTTTGCAATAAATTTAGTAAAACAGATATATTTTTGTTTTAACGTAGATGTAGATGCCTTTATCTTCTTATTGGTATGGTAAAATAGTGGCGAATTCTTAAAAAAACCAAAAATTAAGGTACTTTGAAAAGTAGTGGAGCAGTTGTTTAAAAGTGTACATGCGAACTTTCAGGAGGGGTAACTCGATTAACCGAATCTGGCCTATCAATGGTTACTTGGAAATTATTGGGAGAAAAAATGCCTCGGACGGACCAAGAATGGGAGACAGAATTCGCAAAATATCAACAATATCCAGAATTCAAGCTGTAACTATTCATCTTTACTGAATATTTTATAATATAAGTGATTTATTTGTAGCAAAAATAGAGAAATGACTTTATCGGAATTCAAATTTATTTGGCATATGGAATATGGTCACCGTCAATGGGGCCGATTAATAGGAGCAGCCTTTTTGATTCCGGCAGTGTACTTCTGGAGCAAAGGAAAACTTACGCCTGGCATGAAGAAAAGAGTTTTGATTTTTGGCTCATTGATTGGTGCACAGGTAGGGGATTATACACAGGAATACTCGCGTTCATTTAGTTTAAAAATCAAGCCCCACTAGTTTTTTTAAAAAGATCCTAGCTAACCACGGTGTTTTTAGGGGCTTCTTGGTTGGTATATGGTTAAATCTGGATTAGAAGACCGATTTCATGGAGAAAGTGATGTACCAAGAGTATCACAGTACCGCCTAGCCAGTCATCTGGGACTGGCATTTGTTTTGTACACACTTCTTTTGTGGTCAGCTTTTGATCATATAATCCCAGCAGAAACGATAACAATTAGTAAAGCGGCAGTATTAAAAGCTAGTAGGAAATTTAGAATGTTGGCGCATACCACCAAGGGAATGGTTTTCTTGACTGCAATGTCTGGTAATATTTACGAAGTAATTAATGTTGTGGGCTAGTCTACTTTTTTATTTACAGGTGCTTTTGTAGCTGGATTGGACGCAGGGTTGGTTTACAATTCCTTTCCAAAAATGGCAGATAAATGGATTCCTGATGATATTATGGCATACACTCCAAAGTTAACTAACTTTACAGAGAACCCGACAACAGTGCAATTTGATCACAGAATACTTGGAACGAGCACATTGGCTCTTATTACAGCGCTTTGGTGGCTTAGTAGGAAACGAGTATTACCAAGAAGAGCTTATATTGCTGCTTCTACATTGGCTGTTGTGGGATATTTGCAGGTAATTCGTCTCTGATGCAAAATTTACTAGGTTACTCAAAATTGGCGATTATGAGTGTGGGTTGAGGTTAAAGGAATTCTTTTGGTGGAAATCATATACTTTTGCAAGTATGCATGTAAAAGTATATGGTGGAAATGTGTAAAGTTGATCGAACAGTTAGAGATCTAATCCTTATTCAAACTAGTACTTAATATGAATTCTTCGAAAGTTCAAGATTGAAAAAAATCTACATCTTTGAATAATTTTTCATGTGCATTTTCAGTGGCTATTCCTATCAAGACCAGAACGTTCTTATCTTTATTGTTATGAAGGACGACTTCAGCAATTAGCTATTCTTCTCTCTGCATTTTCTCAATAGAATTTTTTCCTTGTAATAAACTTAATTAATAAATTTTCATAAAAATTTAAAATTATCACGCTGAGTCCCGTGAGGCACGCTGAAACCCGGGCGTGTTGCGTTATCGACTTTGAAATTTATTTTAAATTTTGAAAAACTACCCAAATATGCGTTGTAGCGCTAACATGTTTGTCATCAAATATCTGTTTGGATGCATTTTGCCTTAGTTTAAGCAAGAATCTCAATGTTTATCTATATTCGTAAGCTAACATTTTTCCGTACTCCCCAAGTAAGTCCCAGTAACTTCTTAGAGTTAGAGAGAGAGTAGAGATCTTAACGCATTTGGCTCGGACAGAGGAAGATTGTCCGCCTGCTAAGTTCAGTTCGAGTTCAAGTTTAGGGGTTTTTAGGAGTTTAGTTGAACTCTCAGATCAGATATTATTGCCTTTCGTGAAACTCAAGTTAAAGGTTCCATTGCACACCCGAGCCTAAAATAAATAAAGCCAATTTTGAATGACCTTGCATATAAATTGTGACTGATCTCAGTATGTGTAGGTTGCACTTGGGATTACGACGCTGCTTACCTATGTCCCAGTTCCAGTCGCAGCCAGCCACCAGAGTGGGTCTCTTCTGCTGCTCTCAACGGCGCTATGGTTAACTCATGAGTTGAAGAAATTACCCAAATAGCTTTGCTTCGTTTTGGCAAATTTAGAACCAAATGTTATTTGCTGTAAAGTAAGAAAGTGTTTCGCTTGAAGGATGTCAACCATTAAGTATTTACCTACTGCGTTATAATAAAGTTTAATTCTACAGGTTGATCTTGATTCCTAAAACTACGCCATTCAAATTATTGTTTAACCATTAACTTCCGGACAATAGTCAAGTAGGCGTTAAAATTGTATGTTCAATTAAGTTGAAAATGTTCGTATTTCGCATTGTTTGCAAACATATTTGCATTATTGATTTTACACAGAATTATTTTTAATTATTATCAAATCCAAAAACTATCAAGAAAGTTCGGACTGGATTCGTCTTGGACAGACGATGTTTTACATCTCACAGTATAATTTTATTGATTAATTTAAACACAACCACTGTAATACAATCAGAACTGCATCTATCCATTGACTGACCTACTGAACCGATTCTAACTGTAGATCTGGATCTTTTTGTCTGAACGCTCGCTATGGCTTCTTTTATACTTACGTCATGCTGATCATAGCAGAAACGATATTACGACTTATTTTAATGAATAGTCGGCATAAGTGACGATATACATAATTCAATCAAGAAGCTCAAAAATTAATTTCAATTGAAAAAAACGAAACTTAATAATGATTAGACTCCTCAAAGTTCAGCATCTTTTCACAATATCAAGTTTAGTGCATTTTCTATTAAAAGCATTGGTAAATTGTAACTATAATTAAAACAACTTTGTATGAAATACGGATATAATTTATTTATATATTTACAAAATAACTGATTTACTATCATTATTATTTATTACATTATTATTATTTACATCTCTCTAAACATTTTCATTTAAGTAATTAAAAGAAAAAAATATTCCAATTAAATTATTATCCATAGTATTGCTCGGAAAAAAACATAAAAAATTCGTTATGATGGTCATTAAATGCTTTGCAAGAATGCATTTACTTTGCTGAAGACTATATGTATTTTGTAATGAACAATTCCAATTTTCTTTTAATTTTGCAATGTCTGTTAAGTTTGAATACTTATGTTTACGCATTTGTGTTAACGCCAATATTTTATATTTAAGTGCCAATCGTCGACGTATGTCAATATATACTACATCTATTATAAATTATACAAGTAAATAAATCATAAGTTTGATAAAATAAACAGTCTCTTTAACCAAAAATACTTTTAAGTATATAGTTTTAACGAAAAATGTTATATCAACTCAAAGGCACCATCATCAAGAATAAAATGCTCCTCCACATGCCTTTCAAATAATGCAAAATCAACATCTTTTTGATATACTTTACTGCACAATGGGCACACTCGATCAAATGTTTGTGTGTAATCTGTAAGATTGTTTTTCGCACTGGGACTCGAAGTTTTAGTGCCGCTGTTTTCAGGATTATCAGTTTCAGTGTACTTATCTTCAAATGTTTTTGTTACCAAATCTAACGTGGAGGTACTCTTCTCTAATTTTGGTTTTTTACACTGACAAAATTTGCATTGAAGTTTTTCTGAAAGGAGTTTTTAATAATCAAATATTTTTGACGTTAATACGGGACAAACAAGTGTGGAAAACGAATCCTTTGTGGCTTCTGGGAAGAATCCGGATCGAACCATATTTATTGTGTTTATTTACCATATAATAATTTGATTTTATTATTATGAACTTTTTCATAAAAAAAAGCAATAACGAACAGCCTGTCCTCACCTGTTCCCACAGTGGAAATTTGTTTTGAAATTCATGACGAGCAACTAATGCTCACTAAAACGCAATTTAAATTTAAATTTGACAAATCATCAAAAATGTAACGAAGGTCGACAACTTTCGAATTTATAGCGTAACTATCGAAATTTGGTACCCTACTAACCCAAACTCTCGTTTACTGTGACTATCGTAGTAGGATAGACGAAAGGAAGCCTACACATTTCGGCGCAACCAAATAACTCAATATTTCTTTATTAGGCCTGGGCAACACTGTTAAGTTGCGCTTTTGAGTTGATGCCGCTCTGTTAGCTAGTGAATTATAACTCATCGCGTCTCACTACACCGCACCACGAATTGGGATTGTGGCGGAATAATTCTTGAAATCAGAACTTTTAAAGGACATTTTTAATTAGTTGAAATTTCGTTGGTTTCTATCGTCACTCGGAAATTGAGCAACAGTTTAATGTTTAAGTGATTTCTTCTCGTTTTTTTGTTTAGTCAATATTTTTTTAATTTTAATTTCGGCGTTGTGCATCATTGCATCTGAGTGAAATTAAGGTAAATTTGAATGGTTCTAAATTTAAAATTAAATAAGTCAAAGATCGGCGCTTGGAGCGTTTTTCGTTTACTTGTTGATTTTCGTTAAGTTGGAAAGTAAAATTTGCCTTTGGAAATATTGTAATGCGAACAGGCACTTTTACAAAAATGTCAACAATAAACAAACTGAATTCAAACTACCAAACACGAGCAAGAGTATATGTAAATTATTAAATAATCATGTTTATTCTGTATTTCGGTGTATTTTTTTCCGAGAAGCTGTATGAATATTCAGTTTCCTATGCCTTTATGGCAAGTGCGATAGTTTGTGGAAATGTAGTAAACTTTTTGAGGATTTATTATTAGGTAGAAAAAGGAGGATGGGGCGCCAGCTTGCAGAAAGCTGGTAAGAATAATCTCTAATCTAAAACTCTTTTAGGTTGAACTGAGTTTAGCTTTCCGACAAACAAGTGAAGCTTTATGGATTCTTTATATTTCTCTCTTTCTCTTCGCTTTGCTGATTTCAAATAAGTTTGGCTGTGGACAGATGTCATGCTGTATTAAACACATTTTCTCCTTTATTTCTACGTGGCACTACGCAGCTTTCAGTAAGCTTAGTATTATTCATGAACTCACTCGTAAGGTGGATTTGGTGTCGATTAAGTTATTGGTTCTTTCGTAGTTAACTGTTAAACTTTGGGAATATTTTGGGCGGCTTTGTATTTTTCATATCAAGCTCATCTGAAGCTTTTCGCTAAAGAACCGCTTCTGATATGGAAATTTGGGATTCAGTATTCAATACAAGAAGCATCAGCTTACTGATAATGTGGATTTGGTTTCATCTGAAGCTTGTCTCCATAGTACCGTTTCAGGTACGCAAATATTAGTTCCAGTTTTATGTTCAGAAAAAGTCAAGAGTTTTAGTTTCGCCAGTTTTTTTTAAATCGCAAAATCGTCTGAAACATGGCGCCGCCTTTTTTGACATTGCTCAAGAACCATTTGAACCACAGTTATTTTAAATCGGGCGCGTTTTGTTTTTGTATATTCATCGACCACAAAAATACATTTTCCACAAATGTGCAAACTATGCTCAAATGCTTAGTTAAATGACAAGTTAAAAAAATTAACTCAATTATACTGACCTTTCAACAAATGAATATTCTTTACATTCAATTCCAAAACCGTCTGCTGCTGTTCAACTGCAGTTCTTAATAGCTTTAAATCGTCTCCATAACTTTCTATTTCGGCAAGTAGGTCGTTTTGGAGTTCTTCGTCAAATAAAAATCCACAGTTGTCTGTTACTAACTCTTCATTTGAAACAATTAATTCGGAGATCTCTGAGCACAGCACATCTACGTAATGTAATTGTTCAATTGAAATGTGTATGTGCATTTAACACAAATAGGTTACCTAATTCTTTCCTTTGCCTATTAAAACTATCAGATAGCTTTAACGAAATATCTTCCAGTTCTAAACTGATTTTGTCATTCTCTTCGAGATTTTTTTGTAGCACTTTCGTTTGCAACTCTGATTTAGTAAATGTTTTTGATCGAATTAAATTGTGCTGTGGTGTGGAACTAAATTGGGTTGTAGCATGCTAAAATACAAATCAAATAGATACAAATCTCCTGTAAGTGAAATTACATGAACTATATAAAGTAATCAGTACTTCTAGTTTGATTCAAAAGGTAGTTGTTGGCCAGAAAAAGAGCGAAAAATAATGTTGCTTTATCACTAATGAAAAACTAGTTTTCTTAATAGTTGTAGTTTACAGGTTATTCTACTTTTCCACTTTACTTGTGTAGTTCATACTTTTCTTGCAGTTTTATAAACATTTATTACAACATTAAAGCCAAGTTTTTAGTATTATATTGACATACTTGTATTAAATATTGATATTTGCAATATGCTGTAGCACATAGTAATCTTCGCATTAAACATAAGAATTATGTATTTTGGCGCTCAGATACTGCAGCCTCATTTTCATTACTTAATTCGTTTCTGTTTTGCAAATGCGGCAATTTGTTCCATAGTATTTTTAAACTATTACTTAGAAACTTTGTGTAGAATTTGAATAAAAAACCTTACCTGGGTTAAAGTATCATTTATTTTAGTAAGCTGACTACCTAACGTTGAATTCACTTTTGTGAGTTGAGTGAGTTTCGACCAAAGGTCTTGATTTTCATTGGTGACCATTTTCACTTTATTTTGTAACTGTTCTTTTTGTTCTGATAATTCAGCAACCTGCAACAATAATCACCGTTTGCAACGAAATAGCCTACTTTATTCAATATGCAATACTTTACTTGAGATCGTAAATTATCCACCTCGTTGATGGAACGGTTAAGATCCTCATGCTGACTGCATTTCGATCTTAAATTGATATTCTCCTCTTCCAAGAGGGCTACATGTTGTTGTAATTGTTTACATCTCTCTCGAAGGGTATGAACAGCAATGTGCAGGGCATACTGAGGTCCTTGTTCGGCATTATCCATTTCAGTAGCCAATGGTAAATACTTTTTTACTATCAAATAATACTAACTACACAAAGAAGACCAACATGTAGTCTATAAGAGCAAATATCCCATAAAGTATTTGAACTATTGCAAATTTAACCCAAATCTAAAAGCTGTTCATGATCTACGCTTTGTATTGTCATGGAAAACTTTTCGCACTCATTAATCCCTGGATGGCAGAACACATGAGTTTGTTGTTACTTTCTAATCTCAATTAGAAATTTGTTTTGTTTTCGCATCTAAATAAAATATGTTGATATTTATGATCTTTATACGTCACAGCTAATAGAGGTTATGCACAGCCACAGATTATCAAACTATTTAGACCGCCCACTCTATTTGCAGCGCTCTTGCGGCCTGAACGACCAAGCCTTCAATTTGGCGCCATATTCAATTTTCTTTTAGACTTTTTGTAATACTAATAGAGTTATGGGATAAAAAATACAAACAAAGCAATTGCATAGACATGTATTGGTATTTTTTACTTCTTCTTCTAATGCTAGTTCCGAATATTTATGAGAAAAATATAATTTTTTGTACAGCTTGGTGAAATATTTAAGCTTTTAGTTACATTGTTTGGTCACAATTTTTTTGCCTTGGATTACACAGAACTGTATATACTTTCCTGACTGTGTTTCAATTCTAAATAAAAATTTTTTTTACTATCTGTTATTTTAGAGAAACTGATGATGGTGGAAAACACCGAAACGTATTTTAATTGATAAATAGACAATAAATGACTGAAGCCCAGGAATTGATTTTGATTTTTGATTACACAGAACATTTATTCACGTTTAATTCATTTATTCATTCACATGTTTTTCTGCAGAAATAACGAGACAGACAAATAAAAGTCGTTACAAAATGTAACAACTTTTTGAAAATTTTAAATGAAATAAATTATAATTTGAAAACTCTTGATTTCACAGCTTAAAGTGTAAATGCAAATTTGTAAGTTGTCTATCTAATGACGTATTAATATACAGGAACTTCCATTTGAAAAATAAAAGTTATATTTCGTTAAAAAATGTTATATTAAAGTCCACATTCTTAACACCCTGTACAATGTATTGATATTTTGGTTCAATATGATTCTTAATGGATCTGTGGTGATTGGAAAGACGTATTTTTTTGTATCTTTAACTGTTTTTTTTTGCTTCTACAATGCATTTTTAGATACCATGTTTTTAAGTTAAATTTTACTAAAATGGCGATAATCTGCCAAAGTCGCAAATAAGAACAAAAAACAATTTACGGTGCATATGCAGCGTTGCAAGGTGCATTTCACAAGCTAATAAAAATTTGGTAGTTCTATTTAAAAAATACACTTTGATTTTGCCTCGCTTTTCTGAGACACGCTGTATCACATAAGCTATTTTTAAAATGTGCGCACTTTGTGGTCAACAACTTTTATATCAAACTATTTTTCGAAAGTTCAACACCAACGGAAATAATGGACTCTCTTTCACTAAAAAACCGTCCTGTATATTATTTCGTAAATTGGCGTATTTCCAAGCATCTATCCTGTATATTGTATTTTCCTCTGTTCCTGCTTTACTAATAAATTACTGTTTATTTTAAGTATAATGAATTTTATTTTGATGGTTCAGATAAAGGATACAACCCAGGAAAGGACAACATAACAGTAAGAAAATCAACGATAGCCACGCCTCCTACTTATTCTACTAGAAGATGAGTGCGGAATTTTGAATTGAAAATAATACTCGCGATTAAGACATTTTTTTTATTATAGGCCAGCGGCAATAAATGATTCACATGCGATCTCCGCTTCAAGTTTCGACAAGTCAATGGGAAAATTTAATCCAGATTTGAGTCAAAGAGAGAAGTGGAAACTCAATAAAAAATCAACCATTCAACTGTTAGAATACCTAATGGGGCTTTCAAAATATACCGAATATTCGATTTATTTCTTTTGCTATCTTCTTAAAAGTCGTGATGGTGTGCCATTCACATTTTTTTAAATTGTCTTGTTTGCCTTTTTGAATATTTCTGGAAAACGAATTGTTTTGCGGAAATATCAATAAGTTAGAAAACATTATTTAAAAATCATAGATCAAAAATTGAGGAAAAAAGTCACTCTAATTAGAAAATAGATTTTTATTTGTAACTTGTAACATAGATGCCATTAGCGAGACTAGTAAAAGTTGGCTAGCGACTTTCTAATTTCATCAGGAGACATGCCTTCTGCCCAATAGTATGCATAATAGACAAAGTAAGAGATTCCCATTCCCATTATTGCACCAAATAGAACATCTGAAAATGAAATGTGATTTTAAATACTCCTTAGCAGTGTGTTGTCTCAGGAATCCCTCACCAGAATAGTGGTGGTGGTAGTCACACGTTCGACTCACTCCTATCAGGACCGCGAAAATAACAGGAATTATGACTGTAAGGCATTTCCATCCTTTGTGTCTTCCTGGGTCTTTTATCTGTAGAATTCGGCACATCCTCAGAGTCATGAAGAACATACCCGAAAAAGCGAAAGTTGCATGTGCACTTGGAAAGCTTTTCCTGCCTATAAATTTATTTAGTTTGTTCAAAAATAATTTCCATAGGTTTCCTTGCACCAACCATCCATATGTCCCCGATATTCTCCGGTGCAATGATTTATATCCGTTCCATATCCATCGGGAAAACATCGCATGAAGAAATTGGGCCTGGGCCTTCCCACGAGTAATTTCAGCATAACAGTGAAAATACCATTAATCATATACACCAATGTCAAGGCATAAAACCCTAAATACAGAGCGTGTAAACGCAAAACCATTTTTTTCAATGCACGAATTACCTTTTATAATGTCCTTAAGCCTTTGGTTCACTGCGTATTCGATAAGGAAAAGTATTGCTGGAATGAGTACGAGTAGAATGTACAGGCCCCATTTGGGTACGATTGAGGGGATGGAAGGATATCGATACATCCACAGTTCCTCTTCTTCAATATGTCTGATGAAAGGGGTTTGCTTGTCGAGCCACCTAAATGGGAATTTATTCTAGAGTAGCGATCGGTTTGGCGCTGAATAAAATCATTGTCGTACATGAATATCATATACAGAACTGCTCTCAATGAAACTTCAGAAACATGATCAGCTACGTCCATTTTCCAGGTTTAGTTTGAGACTGTTGGAAAGTTCCATTTCATTTTTTAAACATCCCAAGCCATTGCCAGTTTGGCTTGGAACTCAAAAGTACACTGAGAATTTTGAGTGGATTAACAAAGACCCGGTTTTTGTCAAATTTAGGTTGAATTTGATGGTGACTGGTCTGTGGTAGTTGAAATACCAGCACACATTTTCATCACAATGCCTGGTTGGCCTGCAACTTTTTTAACTGATATTTAACTTAAACTTGTTGAATTCACATTGGTCTAAACAGTTGAGGCCAATCTACTCAGGCGCTTTGTATGTATATTAGTTGTATTTAATGGTATATGAAGAGTATAGTCATGACGATCTCATAGAGACATAATTCGTCTTTTTCCTTTTATACGTTTCAAGCGAAATCAGTTGTTCTGCTTTGTTTAACTGAAGTTTAACTAAAGTTCAAAATGCCTTGCTGAATGCTTGAAATTGCTCTTTTCCTCGGTTGAATATTGTAATCGTTGAAATTGCATAAAAATATGAAAATAAACTCGTGAAAGTTATATTTAAATACAGTTTAAGTTCAGTAGTGATTAAAACTGCGATCTGTTGGAATTCCATTGCGCGGGAGAAACTAGAAAAGTATTTTTACTATAATGTTTTTACCGGAAAACATGAATTTCCTCGCTCACGTCGAAGTTTCGCACATGGGAATCGCGTTATTCGCGTCATCGTCAAGGTTCGCAACATCAGTGGCATCGTTGCCAGTCTTCCCGCGGCGTCGAACCATTGAGCGTCGCGACGCCGACACCGCTAACCTGGTTTAGGCCGTAAATTATCGGATTTTCACTATTTGTGTTTTTTGACGTCTAGTCGGTGTTTTTTCTCCCGATGACAATCACTCGAACTGAATGCGAACTTTTATGGTGCTGTCCAGTGGATTAGTAAAATATTGTTACAACAATTGAACCGGAAAAGTTACTGTTTAGTTTCGTCAAACACTTGCATTTGTTAATATGTGCATCTATGATTTGATAATGCCGGTAACAATTTCCTGCAGAGTTTTTTTAAAGGCGGTAAGTGTAGATTAGTCAACAAATGTGCATGTTTTGCTGTTTTTTTGATAAATATTGACCGACTTTGAAAATAATATCAAATTATTCACTTTTGCGTCATGTCCTTAATATATTTTTACAATATTTGGGCTAATGCCCAATGCAATAATATAATAAATAATATATGGTTACTTAGCCACAGCTTAAGCAGGCGTACTGTATATATTTCCTAACTGCATGTTTACAGAGTGTCCGCCAAGGTATTTGAAATAGTTTGCACATGAATTCGATTTTTCTGCGGGTTTGATGCTTCAGAGAGTTCAACTAGCGCAACGAAACTTGTTAGCGTAATTTTACGCACAAATTTTTCTTTTCATTGTCCCTGGATTCCCAACGGTTCATGAAATATTCGGGGGTAATTGCACAAGTGCTTCAAAATTACCGATAATTTTGCATGAAAACTTGTTGTCTAAAAACTAATGAGTTTATTTTCATATTGTGGCGAAAAAGCCCGACTCCGAAGGAGGAGGGCTTTTTCGTTCCAATGTGAAAATAAACGAATGCAGTTTTTACAACAAGCTCGAATGCAAAATTATCTGCTTATTTTGATGCACGAGTGTAATTTTTATGAACATTTCCTGAGTAAACAAAGTTAATGTGGATTAATTTTATTTCTATTATATTTTATTACACTTTTAATTTTATTACTTATGTTTATTAAATTTAATTTGAATATCTTAGGTATGTCAGGAAGACATTTGATGTCTAATTCAACATGAAAAGACACCTGTCAAATATTTTTTGTAAACAATGCAATTATCGTTGAGTGATAATTGCACACTGTGCAATTACCGCTGTAATTTTTCGATAATTGCACACTTCAAACGGACAGATTATCATACGAAGGAAATATTCGCAATAATAATGAAATTAAAAGATCACAATAATCAATGCACAACAATAAAATAATCTCAGGCAGTTTTCTATTTAATTTCCGTATATTTTTTCTTGGTAAGGGTAAAATCCTAATGAACTAATAATTAATCGCATGGATTAAGTAATTTTACTGTTTACACGTGAACTTATTTTAACTCTTGCAAGGAATATTGGAAAAATATTAGAACCAATTCCTAGTAGTAACTAGTTAACCCCGATTTAGGTATCCAGAAGAGAAAGCAAAACATTTTGAACCAATACCATCTGAAATATGTTAATCCCTGTTTTATTTATTATTTGTTCAAGGCTTTGGTTCATAATTATAATTTTTCTCACTTAAACTGAATAGTTTGTATGTTAAGTCTTGCAGACCGTTCAATTTTCATATCGTATTTAAGGGCGACTAGGTCTGATTTAATACTGTTCAATATCGAATTATTTTTCGTCTTGCAAGAGTCTCACAAAACTCTTGCAAAAGTCTTGGTCTTGCTGAACATGGTTTTGGTCCTGTTGTTAGGAGTATATGTTCAATGACAGTCAGTATTCTTCGTTATCAGCAACATTTTTATTAATAATCGTTTGTAGGTCTTCTTTTGTTCCGCTAACAGGACTCTGTCGTCAGCGTATCTTAGAATATTTATTGTCGTGTAATTGATTTTAATGCCTATGACTATCAAGTCACCAAGTGATTTATTTACTATCTCTTCACCCTTTGCATGTCTTTCTTCAGATGTTCTATCTTTTATTAGTTCTGGTAGAAGCTTGCTTTTATTCTTATCACTCTGTGGTGAGACCTTATTATAGTCAATAAGGTACACGTGAAGGCCTTGATTTATGTGCGAGTATCTTTGTGATGGCACATTTTCTGCAAACAGTTCCGCTCTGGGTTTTAGGCCTTTACGGAAGACGATCTGTGTGCCTCTGATATATGCATCTAATTTTTTGAATTTTTATATGAACTTTGTAATTAAGAATGATTTGCTTGTAGTTTCTTGCAACACTTTTATTTACAGTAATCTTTGCTTGCCTTTTTCATCTTTATGCGGAGTCCTCGTTGTGCTTAATTGTATTGTTGTTCATTTTATCTTTTATATTTAGTTAGTTTAGCATAATTTCAGTATGCGTCGGGAGACCGTACGTCTATTATCTAACTACTTAAAATAAGCAGTAGGAAATAATTATTTTCTTTCATTACTCTCTTGGGATGAAGAAGTTACATTGCTTTTTAACTTTACACATAAGTTTAACTAGACACATAAGAGATATGAAGTCGGTCAAATTAAGATAAAGGTGCGCATTTTGATGCTTAACAAAACGGTGTTATGAAAATTGCCAACTAAGTACTACCAAAAATGTTTACAAATACTTTTATTTTTGATGACCTTTAGTGTAGAGATATTTTAAAACAATTACTAGATTATTAGAACTTTTTTAATGTCCGCCAAGAATACACTATCAGGTCCTGAAATTTTGGGTTGCGCTGCTACCATCATCAACTTTTTTTTATTCCGACCCGTATACATATTTGATATCTGTTTATGAATTCTACCGACTCATAATGTGACTATAATTTCTTTTCAAACATTGTCCGTTCCTGAACAATATCATTTTTTACCATTTTATAATAAAACTTTATTCTCCGCACGCGAATTTTTAGCTGTGTAGTGTTTTTAGGATATTTAGACATTCATGTCGAGCTACTTTGTTTAAAAAATGTTCTTTCACTCTTCCTCATTTGTCGACTGCTCAAGAAATATGCCATATAATTATGTGCGGAAACATTGCTTCTATTTTACAAGATTCCAATGACTCGAATTTGTAACACTCTGTACCCACATTACACACATTGTACATCTGAAATGAAAAAAAAAGTTTAATTTTTTTCTCAATATTTTTTTCTCAGTATTATTCCGCTTACTCTTATAGGGGAGATTAACTAGAATTCCAGTGTTACCAACTTTGAAATTCCGTAGAGAAATGGGGTCAAACTAAAAAGAAAATCGCATATTTATGGCCCAAGTGCAGAAAAACGCACATAAAAGATTTATGTCAGCCAATAATGTATTTCTCGTGCTTGTTTTTTCCACCCTGGGGGTCGCACGAGGTAATAAACGCGACTGGACATTTCCCCATAGGACTTTACTTGGGTATTTGATATTAATTCAGTGGAAACCAGGTTTTAGTGCTTTGTTTTTATTTTTCATGTATACTGCTGGTTTGAAAATTCAATCGTTACTGTTTTCTATACCGCAGAATTGGCACAAGTGCATAACAAGTTTTAAAATAATTTTACAACCCATACACATGACCGTTCAAATTGTTTATATATTATTGATCGTATTTGCGTTGAAGTGTTTGCTTGTGCAAGAGCAATTAGCATGCCAATTTTAGGACATTTGGCTGTCCCGACTAAGCGACTAAATAAACATGTAACACTTATCTAATGAGGCAATTTTTCAACCATTAATCACTTTTCCGCATCGGTTCAAAGCCTATCAATCTTCGGAAATTGTTAAAAATTAATTGTGCTTTCGATGATTTAAAAAGCAATTAGTCATTATATGCATACTTTAAAAATACTGATTATCAAATGGTAGGGCCAATTTCACAAAATTTTTGGTTGAGTTCAGTTTTAAGTGTTTTATTTTAATGGTGGTATTTTCCTCTTCACATCATGATTTTGCATAAAAGGAAACTATTTTCCAGCAACTATTCTTTACATCAGAATATTCCGTCTTGTTGGCTTCTTTTGGTTGCTGTTTGCCCGTGGATCACTAGAAAGTTCTCATTTGATTCCACCTTTTTGAAGCGAGAAAAATGTCCATTTTCAACAATTGAATGCTCGTGCGAAAGCAATGAATGAAGCAGCTAAGAAAAATACAAAAAAGTGTAATTTTTTTGTCGCTACTCTACTCAACGCTTTTCTTCATAAATTCCTGCTCATCCACACATTAAAGCATGACTGCAATTTTATTTTTCTTAACTCTTTGGTCGAATTTAATTTTAGACCTGTATTTGACGGCCTGATACGCATTTTAAATCGGCTAACGCAAATATTAGCAATATAATTAAAGAAAAGTTATATAATCGTTGAATGTGATATCTTGATAATGGAAAATTTAATTTCTTTACGCTCAAAACAAGCATGTCTTAATTTATGATTTCGGTACTAGGCGTGTTGATGCAATTTATCAAAAGTTCAATTTTTAAGGCAACGCAGGCATGATAAAACAAAGCGTGTAATAAGTTTATGGGGAGGCGAGGAGGAATGTTTCATAAATAAATGTCGAAAATAATGCTGAGGTTGGGCATACTACCGGTTTAATCAAAATTGAAAATTCGATCAATTTTACTCCAGTTTTTTCTCAGCATCCGACTTTCTCATTAAAGTTTATTGATGTTGCCACGTTTGCCGAGTCACAATCACTTTATTAAGATTAACATACTTATTCTGTTTCATTCGTACATGCTTTCCATTAAAATTATACGTACTAACCATCTTAACTGTCTTAAGACTTATCGGGGCTCCATGAAACTATACAAATATTTTACGACTGCGGGAATATTTAAGATAGAAATAAATACTTAACAAGTCTCACAATGATTTTTTAGAAAGATTCATTTGAAGCTAAATTTGTTTAAATGAAGAAATCGAACTGCAAATGGCGGGAAACCAGCAGAATTTTAATATTCTTTTTGTTCTGCAGGATTTAACATGGTCTAGAAAAATGTTGAGGCACTGAAAGGGGCACAAAATATCCATTCGGATTTTTAAAATCGTATCATTTACTGTAGAAATATTTAATAGCTTACATTGGAATATTCGAAGAGCCTGTGACGATAAATGCGAATAACAGGAAAATGCTTTCTGATTTAAATTAATGCACGGCCGTTTGAAGAATAATATTTAAATTATCATTAAAGGGCATTTTACAAATTTTCTTACAATTCGAAACTGTTGACACACTTGTGCTACAGACAAACCGAACGAATTTCACTGAATTGTTGATTTGATCAAATTTTCTACTCAAAGAAGAGTTTAAGAGCTGTAAAGCTAAAAAAAACTTAATCTCACTATTTAATCA